TAACTTTATTATTTAAAAAAATAATACACGTGGTTTCAGAATAAATGTATTTAAGAAAAAAGCGAAATAAAGTTGTAATTTAAAAAATGAAATTGTCACGTGTTAGTGTGTATGTCTGGGATAAGTGGGCTAATTGTACTTTGTTTTATCGTCAGAAAAACTTTAAGGGCTGACTTATTTTACGGTGATACAATTACGTAAATAAAATGTTGATTCCACCGTTTCGATCTTTTAAGATAATTCAAGTGTTTTGTGCTTTGTTTTTATTGGTACTCCGAGAGCACAGAATTGTCAAAACGCTTCAAAGTATATTGCCAATACAACCTCGAACTTAAACAAATTAGAAGATACTAAAATTCCTAAAGATCAAAACTGAATCTCTTTAATGAATTAAATAATACATTAATAGTAATAACATGCCAATCTTATAACATCTGGGAACAGCGTTGTATATAAAGGTTAGGGCTTGGGATTCGTAACTGAAAGGTTGTGGGTTTGAATCTAGCTAATACTTAGTCGTTGTGTCCATGAGCACGACAAGTTATCAAATGTTTGCTCCATTATATCCTGTTGTAAAATGAGCACCAGCTAATAGCTGGAAGCTAACGTGGAATGGACTAGAATCTCATCCAGAGAGAATGTGTCACCACTCTCATGTGATTGTCCCACGAAAACATATAAAAGCTAAGACCTTTAAGCTTTGACTCAAACGTTTCTTTCAACACTAAACAGATATTTTATTGATATTTATGGTTTATCACTGATAGTTCAATCTTCAATCGTCCTATATTAGAAGTATATCATTAAGCTTCACACACGTTCCAGCCATTTGTTTTGTAATGTTATTTTGTAAAACTTTTTTTCATATGCGATTTTCGTGTGCGTAGCTTCAATTAACATGGGTAGCGTCAAGTCAGCGATACAAGACTGTTGTTCGGGTTGATTTGATTTTTCTACTAAAAATTTTGAAAAGGAAGAAAACTTTGAATGAGTTTCTAAGTGCGACATTGATTCTTTTTTTTTTTGTGGATGTCATAATTTTTATTTATTTGTTTTCTTATTTTCAGCAAAACGTACTAAGCGCAACGGTTGAAGAACCAAATCGGTGTCCACCTTCTTTAAGATTCCACAGAATGATACCTTACAGCCTTTAAGGATGACTGTGTATTAAAGAAAAATTTTTTTTTACCGAATGTCACAGAACAAGTCTTGTAAAAACATGGTTAATAATGTACAGTTTGTAAGTTGATTTAATAAACTGGTGGGCAGATTATACATAATTTTGCTTGATTTAATTATTCACTTCCTTTACTGTATTATTTCACTATCTTTGAAAATTAATCGATCAATGTTATAACACGCACGTATGTAATTTTTCTGAAATATGCTTAGGTGTTTGGAATTCCTTGATTTTGATGTTTTGTCGATTTTGGGTTTCTGACTATTGTGCTTTGTGAAAGTTGAATAAACTTTGAAATTTTCTTATTTGCAGACTAGAATGTTAGGTGTACTCAAATAGAAATACTTTATCAACAACATCATCAGTGATAATTATCGTTCTCTTAAAGCGCCACCTTCCTCAGTAGTTAGTTACTTAATAGAGGTCTTCTTGAACGAGAATACTGTGTTCGTCATTGAACAGCAACCTTCGCTGAGGAATACCTTTTTAATTTAATTACACGTCAAAATCATTAAGGCCCTGATCAAAGTGTAAAAAAAAAATCTGAAAATGTAATCTGGAAGACCTTGAGTTATTACCAAAGAAGGTAAACAACCTCAAAATAAAACCGCAGTTAATTTGAAAAGGATGGTTTGTGATGTTCCGTTTAGATAACAAACACACATTTCCTGACAAGAATGAATAACTTAATTGTGATTTAAAATTACAACAGAGGAAAAATAATATATAAATGTGTTCTCCAGAAAAATCATTTCAAAATTTATGTGGCACAAAACGGATGAATGAAGAAAAACGTAAATTTATATAAGGTGATTTTTTAACCATTTACTGTTAACAGCAGAACGTTGTTGTCAGGGGAATGAATAAATAAAAATCCAAATCAACGTCACACTTTGCACGCACATAATTCTAATTTTGTTCCGACTGTAAATTTATAGTTACTTGAATCTTAGTCATATCTGAAGTTAATAATAAAATAGAAGTTTATTGTTTAAATTTAAAAGTGAAACTACAAATTAGTACCACAAGCAATTCATTTATTAAGTCAAACAAATCTATTACGTCGTACGTTGTTAAAAGATTATCTCGAGAAAAAAACTTTTAACGTTTCTGAGAATACATCAGCGTATTTTAGAGTTTTTTAAAAACATTTTAAAACTAATCTTATGAGAGCAAGGCGACCTTATGTACATCGTGTCATTTATTTTCATGGCCTGATGGTTATGGTGCTGGACTCGCAATCTGAGGATTGCGGGTTCGAATCCCCGTCACCGAATATGCTCGCCCTTTCAGCCGTGGGGGCGTTATAATGTTACGGTCAATCTCATTATTCGTTGGTAAAAGAGTAGCCAATTATCTGGTCTATCACTGCTAAATTAGGGACGGCTAGCGCAGATAGCCCTCGTGTAGCTTAGCGCGAAATTCAAAATCAAACCAAACCAATCATTCATTTTCTTAAAAACAATGCAAAAATAAACATCAACCCATCTAAATGCAATCTTTCATACTAACATGTAAACACCTAATAACAATGTAAAAAAGGCAATTACCAGCACACGTCACGTCATCAGGTAACTTATTCTACAAGTTATACATTTCTAGAGTGAGCAAAAGTAAACATCAACCCATCTAAATGCAATCTTTCATACTAACATGTAAACACCTAATAACAATGTAAAAAAGGCAATTACCAGCACACGTCACGTCATCAGGTAACTTATTCTACAAGTTATACATTTCTATAGTGAAATATCTTTGCATAATAACACGTCTGGATCTTGGTTTTTAAAGCTCGTACTTACTGTCTCAAACACTAGAGTCATAGTTAATGTCATTATTAGTCCTAGAATATTAACGTCCTTACAGGTGGCCTATCCCCCCCCCCCCCCCGTGGTAGTAAATGACATTTTAGTCTAACAATGCCTACTTCTACAGAACATGGAACAAAGCTTAACTGTCTGAATTCCTCTTCGCTCACGATTTCTAAGCAGGTTAGTTTAAATAATCCTTCTCTACGCGTTTACCAATTGGCATATCATTCTCGAATAGCAATGGCCATCAGTTGGGCTTAACTAGAGCCTTAGTATAGGTATAATGATAAGTTTAAATTCCACACTTCGATTATTAGCTGTAAAAGAGGAAACCAGAAATTCTCATGAAAGCTACAGAACTTCTAGCTTTCCAGAAATAAATACCCAATAAGTGTCTATATCTTGAATCTATAACTTTACGCTTCTTAATGTTAAAATATGCATAATTTACTGGTTTCACTATTCACTAAGCCTGTCGAAATTTTTTAGAAATAATATCAGCTTTCCCTGTCAACGTGCTGTCATGGGAAAATTTAGATCATTGACAGCTTATGAAGCTACTAATAACAGTTATATAAAGAATGGCGACAAATGTCCTAAAACGTATCTTTCAGTAACCCCCTCTGTCCAATCACAGAACTAAACGTATCTTTGAGTACTCCCCCCTCTCACCTCAGTCCAATCACAGAG